TTGCTGTGTAATGATGGGATTAATTTAAGTAGTTGTCAGACTCGAACTCGCAGTCACGTGACTATGCGCTGATTTAAAGGCTTTGAGTAACTTTTATAATGGAATCGGGTAAAAGGCAAATCCTCGAAAGTTAGACAAAAGCTTGACAACGTGCAAATAACGTCAAGAATTTGATATCCTAAATAACGTAATTAGAATCAGAGGACTATGAGAAACACATATTCAAACTCGCGGCCGAACTGCTATAGATAGTTATAACAATGAATTTTCTTGAAACTTATAGCGTGGCTCTCCACATTTCGTTATCGTCCGCCAATAGTGCCTAATTTATCGATGCACACACAAAGTAAGCATAGCCAGCTTTCTCATACTTTCATCTTCCTCCCAACTAGCAAAATAATCCACCTCTCTAAGAGGCGCATAATCTGGCCCGTTTCGAACTACGTTCTCTCGATTGCCAGTTTCGAGTTCAGTTCGAAGAATCGAACTCAAAAGCAGACGGTTCAGGTTCGAGTCCCAGTCGGGACACTGGCCTTCCTAGGTTGAAAAATGAGTACCATTCTGTAGGAAGGTTACTTAGGTGTAAAAGTTGCCTTTAAAAAAAGGCATTTCTGGCTTTTGGCATAGAAACGGGAATCTGCGTAACATACGTTTCATGAAATGATGAAACACGAAAGTGTAAGCTTGGTCTACTTGACATCTATTATAAACTTTTCTCTTTTGGAACCCAATTCTTTGTGTCAGAGTCGTACAGAATAAGGTTATAATTTCGAAATTTCACTTACATCATGTTAGTTAGAAAAATGACCAGTAAACCCAAACGCACAGCCGTCGAAATCCATAACGCACAGACGTGTAACCTTTAGCTAACCTTTTTAGACTATTATCATGACGGTATGAAAGAATGTATTACATGTCTGTTCATGTACTGAGCCCGTTGAGTTAAGCAAAGATAATACATGGAACAACCATAAACAACTTCGCAGAAAAATCCAATAAAAATTTGAACAATTACAGTTTAATATACCACATGTCCGCCTAACATAATAAACTAAGAGAAAGCGTGAAATTATACTTTTTTTTAAAGAAAACAATACATAAAATCATATTCGTTTCTTACATCGTTTTTCCAACACATCAGGTTTCTCTCTGTCTTAAATATTTAGTCTATCTTGTGCCCGGCAAAGAAATGGGAACAGTAGTAGTAGATGGCGCTGCAAAGAAAATCAAAAACCGTCATCAGCACAACAATAACCGACAGAAAATGCAGAATACAACGTACTGTTCGGTCGGTCGGACTGTCAGTCGGACTAGCCAGCGTGGGCAAGAAGAACAGTCTCAGAAAAAGAAGAGCGCTGCTCGCGTTCGCTACAGCTAACAGCTAATAAGCTATGTACACAAAAGTCAATCGTTATCCGCTTGACAACCAAAGCATACTTACTTACGCCTATCAGCGTCATACGTACCGTGTATCGACTGAGTGCCTGAGCTGAGTGACTGAGTGACTGACTGACTCTACAGCAATTATGATGCGTGTTTGAAATTTGCACACACAATTTTCAAATGCTATGCCGTTCCTCACAATGCTAACAGGGGCATGGGCATAGGCATACATGACATGACATGATTTAGGCGCAGTACGCAAATCTGGCAATGTAAAAAATAAATCGTCGTTAGAATTCCGCAACAGGAAATACAGAAATGAAATCAAAAACAATGACACCATATTTTTGCCTCGAAGACTACTCTCGGCAAAGGACAAAACACAGCAACCACAATCACTATTTACAATCGTTCACAAATTATCTTTACCTCTTTTTACAACTGCGACGACGCTCTCGACTGCGGCTTCGCCTGAAATGTTTTGATTGTTACTGGCATTTAGAGAAAAGTTTTATAACTATAACTAATTAACCAGCAGTTGGCACTGGAATGCATTTACATGTAAACCAGAAGTACGTTTGAGACAGTGTTTGACAGGTCTGCCTAGGCGACCCGGAAGGATAAGCGGTCGTCAAAACTGTTTCAATGACTGACTGATTACTTGCCACGTTCCACTCTTTCAGGAGATTCACTTTAGCTTCTCGCTCAGATGTTGCATGTATGCAACTGTAATGCTGACGATGAATTTCTGCTGCTTGCTTTTAGTTCCTTCCATGCTATTCCTACTTTCTTGATTGCTGATTGCTTCATCTATTAACAGATTACAATAGCCACTGTTTCTGAGAACTTTCTGAATGCTAGTTAGTTCCGCTTAGATACAAATGTCGTTTGAGCTCAGTTCAAAGCATCTGTTGGCTTGAGTGCTAGGAGCGCCATTATTCATGCCAAATGCGTGGTTCAAAAAAAAACAAAATCTTTTTGGCATGTGTTGGCTCGTGAAACATCTCAGTAACGCACTTGTTCCAATTTCTCATGGTAAATGAGTTCAAAAAACGCATGAAACTCCGTTTAGATTTTCATTCCTAGACTCATTTTAGTTAATCACGCATGTTAAGTCGCTGAAAACTCTAGGTAAAAAGCAAATGATCGTACCCTGAGAGAGAGCTGCGATGAAAATCTCGTTCGCGAGACCGAACCTCTCTATCATTACTGACTCTTCGGCTATGTGCCTTTTCTTTCTCACGCCGTCGTCCCTCAGCTTTAGCCTACAATATGAAAACATAAACACACTTTGATACAGTTAGTACTAATGATTGGACACGTTGAGTTTTCTTACTCAAGGCGAAAAGTGAACAAGAGATCTTATCAACTGTTAACTGCTCATTTAGCCGCTTCATAATATTACCTGCGAAGTATTCAATTGCATAGCAGTTGGAACACTCGCAAATATATATATAGAGACAACTAGACAGCTCAGAGAATTGGGTCAGCCAACTGCATCCAACTTTTCACGGTTTTTTTTTCTTGTTTTCATCCTGTTGCCTTGGGTTCATGGCTGGTGCACCTGAAATGTTGCCCAAAAACCTAAAACTTTAATGGCGAAGCAAATCTTACAGTAAGTGAACAATGTGAGATATGCAAAGCGTTACTGTATAACTGACGAAATCTGCTACCAAACTGTTCACCTACCTGCAATTTATCACTGACGAAATTAACAACATATTGCGCAAATTCTTTTTCATTCCGTTCTCGTTCTTCTCTTTGCCATTTACTCTTTTCTCATGTTCATACAATTAAAAAATTTCGCAATTTATTGCACAGCCTTTGTTTTTTATTGTTGTCACAAGGAGAAGACAAGAGTTAAGGCTCTAAAAGCTTCGTGTTTAATAACTATACAAAATACCTTTCTATGCATCTGTGGAAGAAATTCTCATAGTTTAAATATTAAACAACTACCGTTGTTACTGAAAAACTTTATATCCAACAAAAATGTAAAAATTTAAACATAGAGAAGGCCCATGACTTCGTGATTCCCATCCGGGACACCACAACTTACCCGTAACGAAGCCAGTTCCTCGCGAAGAAACACGAAGCCCATGTGAAGCTTGCCGCCGAAGTGATCTGCAAGACGACGGTCATTGTCGTGAATCCCCAGATAGGCGCTGCACACTTCACATACGCGTAGCTTCTGCTGCTGGTAGCTGCTGGCCGGCATTGAATTGCGATAATCTTGCTGAAAACAATACAAAGGTCTGACGTTCCATTCGCCACTTGCCGGCTTTACTGTGTCAAGCTTACATCAGCCGTCTGTTTAAGCTTTCTAAGCTGCTCCACCTTTTCCATCAGCTTTAAAGACTCGTCAACCTTGCCTTCGCTACCGAGCCTTTCCGCTTCAGCCAACGTCTTTCCTATTGATTCGTTCAGTTCTAATATACCGTTGGCCTAAACACACGGTAGAATAACAGCGTTCACCAAAAACCTATGTATCAAAAATTCATACGTCACGTTACAAATATACTGCACAGTAATGACTAAATGAATTAGCAGGCAAGAAAAACAAGAAACTGACAGCGCTCGGAACATCCCTCTGTTTCACACTCTACTACGGACGATGCTGACTTTCACTGCACCATCAAATAAGAATATTTCTGTACTAATATCTGTAGCCATATGGAAAGCGCCGCGATAATCATCCTTGTGATTTTTATAACGTTACATGCGAAGCCTCAGCCTGAATCTAAGTCATCGCATACACTTAAATATGCAGGAAACAATGCAGAGACTTAGGTAAAGGGTAGTGCAGAAAAGGGTAAATATCAGTTTCCTCTCTCCCCGAAAAAAGCAGAAATCAGGTTTCATCTAAGAAATGCTGGTGTGACGAGGCATCAAAACACTTTTAATGCCAATCTATCCTAGCCTCTAAGCCGCTCCTCGTAAGCGAGAGGTCAAAATTGCAACGCCCTGGACATACGAGCATGATGCCAGAA